CGCAAAAATATCCGTTCCATACTCACTGTAATTTTTATATGTATATATGTACATACATAATATTTATATATATATATATATATATATATATATATGTATATATGTATATGTATATGTATATGTATATATATCGAGGTATCCTCTGTACTCTCTTGCAGATAGGAGCGTCTTTATTTGCTAGTAATATAGGTAGCGGACATTTTATTGGGCTCGCGGGGTCTGGCGCTGCTGGCGGCATCGCCGTAGCAGCATTCGAACTCAACGTAAGTAATCCGTCTACACTACAGCGTAATCGATAATGACCAGAAATCGATAATCGATGAGGTCAAATAATGACGGATGTGTTGGAGTTCCATCGACGTATATAAGACTCGAATTCATTATGATCGTGCGTGTTCCAAAATGACCAGGCTAGAATCCGAATTAGACTTAAATCGTAGAGCTAAGTCACGTGGGTGGTTTTGCTTAAATAGTTTCGTTTAAATACATAAATAAATAAATAAATAAGTGAATAAATAAATAAATGAATGAATTAATTGAGTAATTGAATAAATAAATAATATTACAAAATAAATAAATAGATAAATAAATAATTGAATGAATAAATAAACAAATTAATGGAGAATAGGTCTAATATTGTTGTTGTTTGCACAGGCAGCCTTCGTGCTCATGCTGCTGGGATGGTTGTTTGTGCCCGTGTACGTCGCAGCCGAGGTATGCCCCCCTCTCCGCTATATCACACATTATATTAGTGCATGTACAGAGCAGAGAAAGAAACATCAAAGTTGCATACGCTGACAAAATATAAGAGCGCGTCGTGCCTCTATATAGAGTGCGTATCCTTTCACAGCCTCCTTCTTCATTCAACATCACTTTATTGCATAGCAGCCTCTCTCTTTCTTTTCCGCCCTACGGCACTTTCATCGACAGTAGCTTCTCTCTCTCTCTTGCTTCTATTCCACCTTTCTCTACTGCATTCTCTCGCTTTTCCTTCTTCATCACCTTTCTCTACACTCTACAGCATCCCCTCTCTCCCTCTCTTCCTTCTACACCACCTTCCTCTATCGAATCCTATCTCTTTCCTCTATACCACCATATTATATAGACTCT